TCAACCTTTTCTTATATGTTTTAGCCTCCAGTCCCCTAATCATCTTTGTTGCTCTTCTCTGCACTCTTTCTAGAGTCTCAACATCTTTTTTACATCGTGGTGACCAAAACTGGATGCAGTATTCCAAGTGTGGCCTTACCAAGGCATTGTAAAGTAGTATTAATACTTCACGTGATCTTGATTCTATCCCTCTGTTAATGCAGCCCAGCACTGTGTTGGCCTTTTTGGCAGCTGCAGCACACGGCTGGCTCATATTTAAGTGATTGTCCACTAGGACTCCAAGATCCCTCTCACTGTTACTAGAAGACTAGAAGACCTCTTGCGTCCAAATCTTTATTGATAAGTTCCAATTATTTGTTGGCCCTGCGAGGTAGTTCAAATAAGAAATAAAACCCAGGCGTACTAGGTGTATCTTCATTGTAAGTTTATATTGACAGAATCTTCTTGTATTTCTCTCCTCCTTTCCATTTACTCTGTGAAAAAATAGGGAGGGTCATCTTGAAGTGCTTCCCATGCTCCTTCCTCTCTCTCTCTGGACTATTTTACACGCTGGTTGTCCAGCCTGTGGTTTTTCCTCCCATCTCCCAAGGTAATTCCTACATACCATTACATCATAAGATCAATTAAACTTACCATGACTAATTACAAGTGGAAAAGCAAGGTTCTAGTGGTCTGGAGGACTGAATGTAGCCCCCCCTCCAGTCCAGACCTTCATTTGAATAGGATGGTCACCCAGTGACCTTGGACTACCCCGGAGATGAAAAACCTGTGAACCTCCAGATGCTGCTTAAGTAAACTCTCATCTGATTGGGAATTATAGTTCGGGAATTATAGTTCTACATCTGGATGGTCAGTCACAGATACGCATTCATTTCCTTGACCTTATAAGGCGATGTTAAGATTCTAAACCAGTGGTTCTCAACCTGTGGGTTGGGACCCCATTTGGGGTCGATCGACTATTTCACGGGGGTCGCCAAGCAAGGCTGTCCGCCATTTTTTTTGTCCGCCATTTTTTTCCTTTTCCGGCGGGTGCCTTACCTCCCTTGAGCTGGGCCAGCTGGTGGTCGGCCTGCTCCGTCTCTGCCGCTTGCCAGCTACGCCTCGGCCGGCGCAGGAGGCGGAACCACGCATGCGTGGCGCTCCCGGGCAGGGAAAGTCCTCGACTTACGACCAATTGGGTAGTCCTCGACTTACGACCGGTTTAGTCCTCGACTTACGACCGGTTTAGTCCTCGACTTACGACCGATTGGGGTCGCGGCATTAAAAAGGTTGAGAACCACTGTTCTAAACAATAATACCAGCCGTTTATTTTGGTAATCAATGCCCTGGACCAATCCATTTTTCCGCATCAACCTCGCTTTCATCTCTACCTGCATTTCACTGGGGAGAATAGGAAAGAACGGTTTTGAGGAAGCGCTTCCAAATTTTTCATTTCATATCCTTCCCCGTGGTGGTTTGCTAATCGAATTCCATTCCAAGAAGATGGCGCTAAGTGTCTAGGAATAACAGAAAGAAGGCGAAAGATGATCTGCCTGCCTGGCAATGATTTCCTCTTGCTGACTTGATCCAGTCTCAATTTCAGAAGACAATTTCACATGATTAGCTCCCAAAGGCCCTAAGTTTGTTTTGGAAAGGAAGCATGTCTCTCGTCTGTCAACAGGCCTCCTTCAATTTGGGTGAACGGGAAGGGTGACTGAAGTCAAAGGTCTACTCATTACGATACAGAAGAGGGGAAAATCGTGGTGAGAGGAACTGTCAACAAAACTGGTCCTCTTCTCCCTGTGTCTCATGGAGGACGGTCTTCTGGCAAACTTTTCCTGCCCCTCTTTCTCAGGAACTCTGATTTTTTTTTGGAGGGGGGAGGACTCTCTAAGCCCTAGAGATCTTGACCATAGCCCACCTAGTCTTCCCAGGAACTTGTATTAACTCACAGCTTCCGCCCTCCGGGGTTGTGTTAATTTCCCTCCAAAGTAGTCTTGGGAAGTAGTCGGAGGCAAATGAACACAACCCCGGAGGGCTGAAGCTGTGAGTAATAATAATAATAACAACAACAATAACAACAACAATAATAATAATAATAATAATAATAATAATAATAATGAAGTTGGAAGGGACTTTGGAAGTCATCTAGTCCAACCCCCTGCTCAGGCAGGAAACTCTATACCAGTGGTTGCAAACCTTTTAGAGACCGAGTGCCCAAACCGCAACCCAGAACCCATTTATCGCAAAGTGCCAGGTCCGCATCAGCATTGGGGTGCCCTCGGGGGGGGCAGGGAGGCACCTCTGAGTGCCACCTCTGACACGCAAAAACTGGTGGCAAAAAAAATGGGCCTCCGCGCTGCAAGGCGGAAAAATGGTCGCCGCCACGCCACGGGGTGCAGATACAAGGCGCTGCACCACGCAAGAACAGGGTAGGGCTGGTGGGTATCACGCAGGCACTAGCCCCGCCCCATTTGCAGCACGTGCGTGCTCGCGGCCTCATGCACGCATGTAAAATGCTTCCCCCTCCTTTCCAGTCCACCAATCGACAATGGTTGGTGACCTCTGTTCTACCACCTCTACTCGAATTTGCAAGTCGACCACTTTGTGCTGGGTGGGGCTCCTGCTCCGGGCAGCGGGGGCGGCCTGATGGACCTGCTGCTGGCAGCGGTGGCACGCGTGCCAACAGAGAGGGCTCTGAGTGCCGCCTCTGGCACACGTGCCATAGGTTCGCTACCACTGCTCTATACCATTTCAGACAAATGGCTGTCCAGTCTCTTCTTAAAAACTTCCAGTGTTGGAGCATTCACCGCTTCTGGAGGCAGGTTGTTCCACTGGTTAATTGTTCTCACTGTCAGGAAGTTTCTCCTTAGTTCTAGGTTGCTTCTCTCCTTGCTTAGTTTCCACCCATTGCTTCTTGTCCTGCCTTCAGGCGCTTTGGAGAATAGCTTGACTCCCTTTTCTTTGGGGCAGCCCCTGAGATATTGGAACACTGCTATCATGTGCCCCCTCGTCCTTCTCTTCATTAAACTAGACATACCCAATTCCAGTAACCGTTCCTTATATGTTTTAGCCTCCAGTCCCCTGATCATCTTTGTTGCTCTTCTCTGTACTCTTTCTAGAGTCTCAACATCTTTTTTACATCGTGGTGACCAAAACTGGATGCCGTATTCCAAGTGTGGCCTTACCAAGGCCTTGTAAGTAATACAAGTTCAATACAAGTTTCCGGGAAGACTAGGTGGGCTACGGTTGAGAGAACAAGGAGTGCAACCATTGATTCCTCCATTCAGCTAATGAATGGACTGAGATGACCTTTCTCTCAGTGGCACTGAAGGAAAATATTGAATTGCAGAGTTGCGAACTCAGCTTGGCAGTGGAAGTGCATTGTCAGAAGAGAAAATGAAGAATTCCTTGGAAGCCGAAAAAGGCCTCGAAGGAGGTGGAAATCTGATCTTTCCATTCTTGCAGACTCACCAGAAACATAAATACCTAAGGGATCTCTAGCAATATATCAGAAATAGTTTCTAAGTCTCCATTTAAAATCTTGTCTTATGTTTCACCTTATTAGATGTGCCTTTCCTTTCGTTTTGTGTCATTTCAGCAAATCCTAGCAAGTAGATGCACTTGGCCATCCTTGGCCCATCTTCAGAAAACTACACAGGGTTGGATTTGGTTAGCGTGGGAAAGAAGACCACCAAGGAATGCTATGATTGTAGAGGAGATCAATGTGGTGGTATGTGGGAATGACCTTGGCAGAGGAGGAGAAGAAAGGCTGCCTAGGGAATGATCAGATAAGGGCAGGGGGAGCCTACAGCCACAAAAAGGGCATTGAAAGAAACTAAAAAAAGAAATTCCCTCACTTATCAAACTGTAAAAAGAGATAGCGGGAGATGGTATTTTCAGAATTGCAAGATTCTATTCATGTAGCTTACAATAAAGTAGAATCAGTTCAAATGCTCAGGTTTCCTCTCTGGTCTAGTATTAGTATTAGTACCACTTTACAAAGCCCTGGTAAGACCACATCTCGAATACTGCAGCCAATTTTGGTCACCATATCACAAAAAAGATGTTGAGAGTTTGGAAAAAAATTAGAGAAGAGCAACTAAGATGATCCAAGGCCTAGAGACCAAAACAAATGAAGAATGGCTCGGAACTAG